ACTATAAGGCACAAAATCAAATTGAAGTGAGTTTAAAAGGATCACCTTTGTTGTTCGTGTGACATGGCCGTTCTGTAGATGATACTGAGAATACCGTAAAACATTAGCCAAACGACCAATTCGAGTATGACCGCTTTCCAGATGCTGCCTCGCCATTTTAGCAACAACTTGAACAGCGTCCATGGTTTCGATGTTGAAACAGCCAAATTGTAATTGATTGTCATCTGGAAGAGAAAACTTCCCTGGACGATTCATGGAAAACAAACCAGTATTGATTTCATTGCAGAATCATTACGATCAATTTATCCACTTATTCGCACAACGAGACGACGAGAGCTTTATCATCGCTTTAGGCGTCGATAGGAAGGGCCACTGGGCATGTAGGATAAAAACGCCTATCAGGACAGAATTCGGCACCACCGGGCAGGCACTGCAAGGCATCTTGTCTGAAGCTTCAGATGCAGTAAAACAAAGAAGACTTCACTCAAAAAGAGCAAATATTCAATTGTCAATCCGGCTGCCTCAGCTTCTGGCAAAGACAAATAAGCCGAAACCTCAGCTGATCAAAGTTATAATAGAGACGAGCACGGTTCAAGCTATTTGGTGGCTGAGACCCAAAAGATGGTGGATCGAACCCGTAGTTCAAAATGGAATGTACATCAAAAGAGTGCTGTTGCGGGCAAAAGTCTTGATTCCAAGGTGGGGTTTTGAACTCGGATCCCATCACTCCGAGCGAGTAGGCTATTCATTGCGCCACCAGACTCGCTCCCACTCTCTCACATCAGCTCAACGACGCCTGTGCTTACGAACCGACGTGTCTTTCAATATAGACTACGATTCCGTCTTGCATATCTGTTGCAGGCCTCTAGCGAAATTACAGCGCTTTTTCATTGGGAGCATACCCACATTCAGCACGGATTTTGTGGCTATGACTTCTTCTGGTTAGGCAGCGTATCATAAAAGTTATGCCGATGGCCTTATATGTGCAATTCGACTGTACATTGATGCAATTTGTCCCATATTTGATGCAACTTCACTCCCGAAATTCATTGCGAGGTGAAGTGCCCGCCCCCTAAAAGACGTCCGTAAACCCATTCGAAGGGGTCCACATCAGATATGGAACACATATTCGAAATCACCGGCTCAGAGACATACCAGTTGGTATATGTTACTGAGCGTTATGTTCTAACCTCTCGACCTTTCAACACTTTCATTCACTTTCATTTACCAACAGGATAGAATTCCGCGACCCTGGGCAGGCGCTGCATAGCGGTTTCCCCGAGGAAGGTGCCCTTATAAGGGCCCTATCAAGCCAACATTACGTCCCAAACGCCCGCCACGCCCGCCCGCCCACAAATGGACGACCTTCCGTGATGCTGCATACATATGGTACACATATGCAGCCGTATCTTCGGTAGCGGTGATTGGTAAGATGCCTACGGGAAACTCGTCCGAAATCGATTTACAAGTCACTGAGAACGGAGGCTTTTTCTTCGCAGGATTTTGACCGTTTCACTCCGTTCTTTCGCCATTTCCCCACTATACAGCGCCCTACTAGCATTTTAGGCTAAGTAGGAAACCATCGTGCCAACTGCCTTCAAGCATATAACAGCTACAACTGGCAACAGAGATACATTAAGTTCGTTACATACCATAATGGATGAAGCTCAGAGATAGCAGTATCTTACCATTAACGGAATATAGTAATTTCAGGCGACATCTGCTGCTGTCCTTCCCTTGCAAGGTTAGGAGCAGGTCGTGGACACCCGAATTTCAAGTGAAATCGATCATTCATGCAAATGTTATGTATGAACCATAAAATAAATATAGAAGCAATGGTCGGACATAAACGTCTTTCCACCCATCAGTTAAATTTATTTTTGTTGGGAATCAGGATTTTATAGGCAACAAATCATAAATCTCTCCTTACGATATTCAATTCTTCTTGCGATTTCAAACGCGCGCTCTCGCGATGGCGTGCCG